AAAGTGCAACAATGAATAAATGGAAAAACCCAAAGTCTCTCTACATTTTCATTGAAATTAATAATAATTTTTTTTAAAAAAAAAGAATATCTAGGACAAAAGAAAAAGAGCATTCTCAGATGGTGAAATGAATCTCTATGGACAGGGATAAAGCAAATATTTTCAAAATTTCAATACGTATCCCCTTTAGAGAGCTGTGGTGTTCTACTCCCCAAAAGGCTGTGCTTCTAATGTAAAGATCTGCAGAAGAAGAACAATCTTCTCCAGTGGCTTGAAACAAGCTTTTGGGGGTTCAATTCCTTCCATTCTCGATTGTTGTTGTTGCTGCTGCTGCTGCTGTTGTTGTTATGTGCCATCAAGTCACCTGCAACTCATAGTGACTCTATGTACAACAGCCCTAAACCCTGTTCCATCATGTGCCAATCTTACTGTCTTTGACACACCTACCCCCATTACACCAGTCACTCAATCAATCCATCTCATAAAGGGTCTTCCTCTCCTGCACTATTAATTCATGCTCCCAAGTATGACACCCCTCTCCAAGGACTGGTCCCACCTTGCAACATGTCCAAAGTATGTCAGACAAAGCTTCAGAATCCTTGCCTCCAAGGAGCATCCTGGTCTCACCCTCTATAGGATGAACCTGATTGTTCTCAACACTCTTCTCCAGCACCACAGCTCAAAGGCATCAATTCTCTTCTATCATCCCTAGTCATTGTCCAGCTTCCTGATGCATAGAAAGTAACTGCAAAGATGATGGCCTGGATCAGGTGCCCCTTAGTCTCCAGACTGACATTGTTACCCTTCAGTACTTTGGAGAGACCTCTGATAGCAGACTCTCAAAATGTAATTTGTCTTTTAATTTCCTGGCTGTTGGTACCAAGAGTATTGACTGTGGAGCCAAACAAACTAAACCTGTTAATAATCTCAATTTCTTCACTGTCTATCACGAAGCTGCCAACTGGCCAAGTGGTGAGAATATTTGTTTTCTTGATATTGAGCCTCAATCCATATTGAAGGCTGCAGTCCTTGAACTTCTGCAGCAAGTGCTTCAGGTCCTCAGTTTCAGCAAGCAGGGTTGTGTCATCTGCATAACACAGATTGTTGACTGAGTCTTCCTCCTATTCTGATGCTACATTTCTCCTTATAGAGCTCAGCCTCCCAGATAATTTGTTCTGCATATAGATTGAAAAGGTATGGAGATAGGACACATCCCTGGCATACGCCCTTCCCAATTTTGAACCATGCAGTGTTCCCTTGCTCTGGTCTGATGACTGCCTCCTGGTCCAACTATAGGCTTCGCATAAGCACAATCAAGTGTTCTGGGATTCACATTCTTCTCAGAGTCAGCCACAGTTTGTTGTGATCCACACGGTCAAATGCCTTCGGAGAGTAAATGAAACCCAGACAGACATTCCTCTCTGTTTTTGGCCAAGATCCATCTAGCATTAGCTATAATAACCCTAGTACCATGGCCTCTTCTAAACTCAGCCTGCACTTCAGGCCTTAATAAATGTCGGTTCAGATTTACAACCTCAGAAACCTGTTGGAGGCTCATCTATGAATTGATTCAGACCCAAGACCAACGAGTTGAGCTCTTGGCCCAGAAACAGCTTAAAAGTTGTGTCAAAGTACACAAAAGAGCTGAGTTCAAATACTTCCTATAAAGATGGTGTAAAGAAAAATCTAGTAAAATTCATATAAACTATCAAGAAACAAACATCAATAAGATAATCGTTCAAAAATTTTTTACAAATCTAGGTGTTAATGCAACTACTAAAAGAAATGACTCACAGATATTGGTAACAATAAAGAACTCATCCACTATGTACTGCTGGGTGAGGAAAACAAGTTTCTGGTATGGCATTATAAAAACTTCCCATCTTTTCTCTGTGCTTCATCTTTATCCCTGATCAAATATTCTTAATAGAGCAATCAAAGGTCTTTTTAAAAATGTATCTAGGTCATGTGACTCTTTTCGCTGAAGATTCTTCAAAATCCTTAATTCAATGAGTGTAGAAGCCAAAATCCTCACAGGGGACTACTGGGCTCTGTATAATCTGCCTCCGGGTTTCTCTGTATCTCTAACCTCATTTTCTAATATTCTCCCCTTCAGTCACTTGCTACAGTACACAGCCTCCTTGCTGTTTTTTGGACATGTGCCCTCTTGCCTAAGGAACTTTGGACTTAGTGCCATTTCTGCCTTAGACATTATTCCTGTACAAATCTATGAGGCTTTCCCCTTACTTCCTTCAAATCTTTGTTCAGGGCCATTTCTCATAAGTCCTTTCTTAATTACCCTATTTAAAAGTCTAGGCCCTTTCTTATTTTCTTCATTGCACTTATCCTCTTCTAACACACTATATAACCTATTCCTTTTATTCTCTGAACTTTAGCTGGACTGGTAAGAATGAGAGAACTGGGCCAAATCAAGTACTGTTATGTGTGGTACAAGAAATGTGATTGAGACAAGATAATGCAGACTTAGTTAAGCCCTGGCAATAATGCTGTCGTATCTGAATTTTGGCAATCAATCTTGCAAAATGCTAGTTTTCCTTCAACAGAATATTCGTTCAAACATTCTTTAAAGTTCTAAGGATAGTAATGAGTCATCATTAAGAGATGAAAAAGGAAAGTCGGTGAATAACTAACTCTTCTTTTACTCTAATGGATATGCTGACACCATGAAGTTGCCAAAAGATCAATTATAAAGGAAGAAGTGTTAAGTGATGTCTTTGGTGAGTTCAAGAACAGTAACTCTTCACTCTATCTTTTCTGTTTATTTACTGATTTTTGCCTTATTACTGTAACTGATGGACACTATGGAGTACATGAACAATGGAACAAAATACTAGCCAGACTTGCACCATCCTCATGAAAAGTTACAAGGTCTACTGCTGTGATACATAGGGTTTTTACTGGCTGACACTAAAAAACAAGCCTCTAAATGTTCCTTTTAAGTTTTCACCCCAATAAAATCTATCCATAGTAACACAGAAGGCTACCAAGATGGGGATGGCAGCAAATGAGGTGCACTGTTGAGAAATCAAAACCAGGTCTCCCACACAGAAGGTGAGATTCTACCACTGAATCCAGCAGCCGACCTTTTATTACAGCGAAAGTCAATTTCATAATTCTCTCCAAATACACCTCAGTTCATTTTGAAGGTACACGGGTAATATGTATAAAATATTTACCTTTTATAGCACCTGAATCTTTTGCATAAAAGTCAGTAATCTCCTGGAAAGCATGACTGTATTCAAAACACATGTTGTCCATCCTTTCAACTCGAATTCTGTCATCCCGTACACTGAAAGACGAAAACAAAAATGTCTAAGGTAATTTTCCATGACCCAGAAGTACCTATATTTGCTTTGAAAAGGAAAACAGGCACATTCCTTATCATTTCCTAAGATTGGGGGGGGGAGATAAAGATATTTAAAGTTTTCCTGCTAAAAGGCCCATTTATAAAATACTGTAACTGTTAAATTTTTCTATTGATGTCCTCTTTTCACCTGTTGCAAGCAAGTGCCAAAGAGCTCGTTCCCACTCATAGCGATCTTATGCACAAAAGAATAAAACACTGCTCAGTCCTGGCAATCATTCCTGTGTTTGATTCTGGTAGGACTCCAACCAACAGAGCTCAACTTTCAGCACTTTTTCAAACAATGTTGCAGTGCTATACAACGGTTTACCTTTTTTGTAAGTGGACTGTCAGGTCATTCTGCCTAGTCTAGAAGGCCCACTGAGACCCATCCACCACAGGTGGCCTTAGTGGGATCTGAAATACCAGCAGCTTCCAGAATCACAGTTACATTCACGCCACCATAGTACAACAAACTGACAGACAAGTGATGATCTATATCACTTAGCACTTTATAAATATCCTTCCAAGAAAAATATAATAATAAATCACTCACTTGTAAATACAGAGATAAACAAATTACAAAGCATAATTTTCACTTAGACAGTTTTCTTAAAGCAACAGAATGTGAAGATGTGAAATTCTTTCTTTGACGTGATATATCTGTCTGGTTGACATAGTGGCAAGAAACTGCACTGTAATGCCAAAGGCATGTGGTTCAAAGCCAACCAGCTGCTCCTCAGGAGAAGGATGGGCAATCTCCTCTAGTGTGATTAACTGCCTCTAAAAACCCACCGGAGGGTCAACTATGGGTCAATTCCCACTCTACGGTACACAACCACAAGAAGTTTATTTCTTAATACAGACTTTAGTCAAATACAGAAAATTCTCCATGGATAAATATCTCATTCTATATGAAAGATTTTATAAATTTTATTTCTTTTTTTAATTTCCAATATATATTTGGGTATTGAGATTTTAAAAAATTACTGTTCTATCCACTGCCATAGTTAAACCTGACAACACAGCCAGGTCAAAATGTATAAGCAAAATGAATCTTTGAGGTTCCCCTTGCTACCGTTACCTCCCCTGAGGCCTCCAGTTGCTTCAGTGTAGCCAAACATTGATCAGCGTTTTCAACATCCTCAACAGCTGCGGGATCCGTTTCTTCCTCATAGGGAACATTAACCCATCCACAAGGAGACTGGGTAGTCTCGCCACTAAACTGACCAAATTGTTTATACCTGACTAAATCAAGAGAACCTACCCTTCAGAATCCAATTGCTTCACACATGAGCCTCCAAACTGGAGACTACTGCATCTGGAGGGTACGCAATTGCCAAAAACCCAACCATAGATGCATAAAAAATGGTTGTTGTTATTATGTACAGCCCAATCAGGGTCAACTTACAGCGGACCCTCCACAGAAGTCTTCAGATATGGTAAGTCACGCTGGAGGAGAGTACTGCTCTGACCCTAGAGTACAGCTGATCAATTTGAACCATGTGCCTTTATGTTAGCAGTGCAACTCCTAACCACTGAGCAACCAACCAGAGATGCCCTTAAAAACAGAATTCCTGTTGTTGTAAACTGTCAAGTCGGAATTAACTGATAGATGACCTCTAGTGAGTTTTCAAAGGCTATTATAAGTCACATGAGAGGAAACTATCCATCTTTCACCTAGCAAGCAGCTTGTGGATTCAAACTGTGAGCTTTCAGATTGGCAGGACAACTCCTTCTCATTAAGACTTCGGTGCTCTCAATTTCAACACATTATTGTTGTTGCTCTTGTTATTCTTGTTTCCTATCGAGTCAGAACTGACCCATACCTGACCCTCCAGCAGGTTTTCAGAGGCAGTAAATCACATGGGAGGAGATTGCCTATCTTTTCCCCACAGCACATCTGGTGGATTTAAACTGTGTATCTGGGTTTGCAGAGCAACTTCTTACCACTAGGCCACCTGAGCTCCCTAGGTATTGCTCTTAGGTGTGGTCAGGTTGCCTATGACTCATAACAACCTTATGAATAATGGAACTGAACCTTTCTCTATCCTGTGCCATCCTCTCTTTTGCTGATCCTCCACCTTTCCGAGAATGATGTCTTTTTCCAAGAACTAGAGCAACGATGTCAGACTGGAGACTAGAGTGCGCCTGATCCAGGCCATAGTCTTCACAATTACGTGCTCTGCATCAGAGAGTTGGACAGTAAATAGGGTTGATAGAAAGAGAATTGATGCCTTTGAGCTGTGGTGATGGAGAAGAGTGTTGAATACACCATGAACTGCTAGGAGAACAAACGGGTTTGTCCTGGAGAGGGCGAAGCCAGAATGTTCCCTGGAGTCAAGGATCCTGAAGCTTCGTCTGACATACTTTGGGCATATTGCAAGGAGGGACTGATCCTTGGAGAGGGACATCATGTTTGGCACAGTGGAGGGGCGGCGAAGGAGAGGAAGACCTTTGATGAGATGGATCAATTCTGTGACTGGAGAGGTGGGAATAAGTGCGTTTGAGATGGCTAGGTTGGCACAGGATAGAAGAGCGTATAGAGCTCTTGTACATAGGGTCGCTATGAGTTGCAAGCGACTTAATGGCACATAACAACAACAAGAGTCCCTCCTAACAACATATTAAAAGTATACAAGACAAAATTTCACCATTCTTGTCTCTAAGAAGTACCCTGACTGTACTTTTTCTAAGACATAAATGTTTGTTCTTTTGACAGTCTATTAGACATTCAGTACTCTTCTCCAATATCACAACTCAAGAATACTGATTCTTCTCCTGTCATTCTTATTCATTGTCCAACTTTCAGACACATAGCAAGGAACTGAAATACCATCAGGTGTATCCTAATCTTTAAACTGACATTTTGCTTTAGCACTTTGGACATAACCTTCACAGCAGATTTTCTCAATGAAATATATCTTTTGTTTTCTTAAGGGCTGCCACCAAGGATATTTATTGATTGAGGATGCAAGCAAGATAAAATCATTGACAATTTCAATATTTTCTGGTGTTAGCTACTGGTGGAACAGATCATAAATTGCTCATGTGCAAGTTCAAAATGAAGCTGAAGAAAATTAAAACAAGCCTACAAGAATAAAAATATGACCATATGTCTATCCTATCTGAATTTATAAACTACCTAAAGAATAAGCTAAAGGCAATGAACATAAAATGAGTTGTAGAATGACTTAAAGGATATAACCCATGAAGAAAGCAAAAGGTCATTACAAAGACTAGGGAGAAAGAAAAGGTCAAAATGAATAACAGAAGAGACTCTGAAAATTGTACTAGAACATTAAGAAGCCAAAACAAAGGGAAGAAATGATGACGTAAAAGAGATGAACAGAAGATTTCAAAGCACAGTTCAAGAAGACAAAACAAAACACTATAACAGAACATGTAAAGAGCTGGAGTAAGGAAATTAAAAGGGAAGAACACACTGAAAAATTAATTCAGTCCTTGAGTTGCAACACCAAGGGTTACTATGAGAAAAATTTTGAATGATTACAGGAAGTATCAGAAACAATGGAAGGAATACACAGAGTGACTGTACCAAAAAGAACTGGCTAACACAGAATAATTTCTGGAAGGAGAATATGACCAAGAAATAATGATAATGAAGGGAAAGTTCAAGCTGTAATGAAGGTAATGCCAGAAATAAAACCTCAGAAGTTGATGGGTTACCAGTTGGCATGTGTCAACAAACAGATGCAGCCCTGGACATGCTAACCAATCAATGCTAAATCGAAAAAACAGCAACCTGGTCAACTGACTGGGGAAAAAATCCCTACTTATTCCAATTCTCAAAAAAGGTAGTCCAACAGAATGTGAAAATTATCAAAAAATATCATTAATATGACATGCAAATTAATATTGTACTGAAAATTATTCAAAGTATCAGAGAACTACCAGAAATACAAGCTGGATTCAGAAGAGGCCATGGCACCAGAGATATCATTGGTGATACCAGACAGATCCTGGCTGAAAGCAAAGAATACTGGAAAAATGTGTATCTGTGCTTTACTGACTATGCAAAGGCATTTTACTCTGTGGATCTTAACAAATTATGGCTAACACTGAGGAGAATGAGAATCCCAGAACACTTAATTATGCTCATGTGAAACCTATACCAAGGCCAAGAAGCTACAGTTCAGACAGAGCAAGGGAACACTGCATGGTTTAAAATCAAGAAAGGCATGTGTACAATGTTCATAAGCAGCATTATTCACCATCACAAGAACATGGAAACAGCCCAAATGTCCAATCATAATCAAATGGATTAAGAAATTGTGGTACATGAACACAATGGAATACTACAGAGCACTCAGGAGCAATGATTTAAAAAATTACTACACAACTTGGGAGGGACTGGAGAACATTCAGTTAAGTAAACTAACTCAGTCCCATAAGGACAAATACTGTCTGAGACCGTTATTGTAGAAAAAGATAACTAGTAAAATGTGTATGAGGATTCAAAGGGGGGAGAGTAGATGCAGAGGGGTGAGGACGGGCAATGGGGAAATCACAGGGTTGCACAACTGGATGGATGGAGGGTGGGGTGAGTAAAGCAAATGGGAAATATCAGCAGGAATCTGGATAGACACGGCAATAGTGGGCATAGTTCAATATTGATTAATTTTATAAAATATAGTGAATTGAAATGATTGTATGAAACACAGTGTGAATGAAGGATAATGTGAAACACAATGTATATGAACTTTATAAGCAAACCAATGTTGTGGTTGTTATGTGCTGTTGAGTCGCTTGTGACTCATAGTGACCCTATGTACAAGGGCCCTAAACCCTGCTCTATCCTGTGCCAATCACACTGTCTCTGACACTCCCATCCTGATTGCCCCAGTCACTGAATCAATCCACCTCATAGAGGGCCTTCCCCTCCTGTGCTGTCCCTCCACCCTCCCAAGCATGATGTCCTTCTC